ACCGGGAGCAGGTCTGGGCTGGAACACTGTCACTCTCCCCTACCCACACCCACACCCACCTGCTTGCCAGGCAGTCAGAGTTCACCCCCTACCTTGGGTCTTAACTCTTCTCACGGGGGCCCTGCCCTACATGAGGAGGGCTCATGTCCCCTAGCTCTGCCTCCCAACCAGAGCTCATGGTGCATGGTGATCTGGATCAATCTCTCTCAATCCCTCCCCCCCCCCGCAACTACTGCACCTCCTGCTGGGAGAAGAGTCCTCTTGTTGGGGGGTCTCCAGAAGGGCTGGGTGCTTCTCTGAGCAGCTCGGGCAGGGCTGCCAGGGGAAAGGAGCAAAAGAGGTGCTGCAGCTGGGCTTCCCAACCTTCCAGCCTGCAATGCAGCCTGCACTTTCCTCAAGCTCTGGTAGCTCTGGGGACAGGATGCCATACCCAAACTTCCCTCAGCCTCTGGGCTTCTCTCATCATGACTGTCCCTTTGTAGCAAAAATAGTTACTTTTCTCTATGTTTCTTTGTTCCTTGTTTTAGTATTAACCCCTGCATTCTGTAACTTTCCACCCACTTGGTACAGGATAGCCCACTACGTATGTCTTATAGGTTGCTCAGGTTTTGGTTTGAAATGACCAATCAAAATGTAACACGTCAACTGAAAAAAATGCTAGCTCAATAAAAGCCACGTGCGCTCTTTGTTTAGGGTCGACACTGATCTGAGCAACAAGCTCCTCTGTCGGCCTGCTTGCAAGCAATAAAATAGAGTTGGACCCAGCCTGAAAGTGTGACTCTCTTCTAGAGGTGAATTGGACTAGCCTCTAGGGGATAAAATCAGCAATTTATGCAACACCTTTCCCCAAAAAGGCTGCTTCCAGAGCAGGCTTCATTTGCCCTTAGCACATGATCTCCAGGGAATCATTTTCCCCTTTCCACAATGTCTGCCTCCAGAGAGGGATTCATTTGCTTGTGTCACATGATCTCTGAGGAGCCATGTTGTCCCACACTGCTGCCTGGCTGAGTTCACCCTGGGACCTTGTTCTCTCAGGTAAAGGGATGTCATTGTTCATTACAGTAACTTGTGTCCAAAATTGTTCATGGCATTTGTAGTTAAGATGTTCAAGTGTTGAAAGGCATTATCTATCATGATGCCTATTGGCCAGAACAAAAATTCTAGATCCAATTGTTTATTTCCACCAATCCTACAACAGGAGAGCTGACAGATGTATGACTCGCCCTTCCTCCTGCAGCATGCTGCAGGTTATCTATTTTGTCACTCTTTATCTCACTCACCCCTCCTCTTGCAATCTTTTTTCCATCTGGTTGAACCTCTGAACTTTGAAGTGCTTGAAATGTAGATCTCTATCAGGATCTATATCTGTATAGCTTGAGGCAGGAAGGCAGGACATCCTACCTGCAGCCACGTTCTCTCCACTCTTTCCCCCGTAGACCTCTCCCCCACCACACACACACCTATGGCCTGGTTTTAGAAGTACTATGTAAAGCATACAAGGTCGTGTTTAGCTGATATTGCTTGAAGAACCTGCATTAGCTAATGCTATAAATTCACTCCTATTACACATCCTAATTTCAGGTAATCAAAACTGTGCAACTCAAATCAAGTCTGCGCTTGAAGGTTGTTTGTGGTTAGAACTTTTGCCTTTCTTATCTTGCTCTTGCTTATCCTTCCATAATATTAATCTACTAATGAAATAGTAGCGATATCCGCTTACAGGGCCACAAGAAACCTTTTAAGGTGAAGATGTGTAACATGATCATGAAATGCTCAGAAATGTATTCATTGCTATAGTTTTGTCTTAGTAAATCTCTTCAACATCTTGCAGGACGGCCATGCTGTGGCTGCTAGCTATTAGGGCTGCACACTGCTTTTCAGATTTACAGCTGTGTGCTTGTCATTTCCAGATGCAGTTTTACTGAGACAGTCACTCAGGAAACGTTGTGAGAAGCAGCAGGTTTCCAGTAAAACATGCCCATAAACACCATGGTTGCTGGCAAAAAAGTCTTACACCCAGATGCTTTAGGAAAAATACAGTCTATTCTTTGTTCACTTTTACCCTAAGGGTTTCAGTCAGATCCATAAATATATACAATGCAACAACCCATCCAGCTCAGCTGATGGGATACATAATGTCCCAGTGGCAGACATTTTTACTGTTTCTTGGCATATTTTGCTCATGGGCTCAGATTTATTGTTGAGCTCAGAAAGACTGTCCAGTTGAAATTCTTAGTAATTGGGAAAGGAAGTGTTATATCACAAGGTCTGTTAGATACAGTTAACTTAAAATCGATTCTGAAGAATTGAACTAATACTCAGGTAACCCTTTTGTCAGCAGCCACAAGGTCTGGTTTCAAATTTGGGGCCTAAATATATTTTACCTTGGCTTGAGCCCCCACTCAGACCACCTGGGAAACACTAAATAAATTAGTAGAGTGTCCTGCATAAAAAAGCCCTCTCCTTGCAAGCAGTGTAAACACAGAGGATACATTTATTACAAAAAAAAAAGGGCAAAGAAAACAAAGAAAAACAATAAATACAATTTAAAACACTACCAACTACAAGCCATAGTTCATAAATTGCACCCTCTTGGGGTGGTTTCACCTGTGCCTAGGCAGTCTGGGACTTGGGATGCCCGCAAAAGGAAGTTCCAAAGGCTTGCAGTCTCATACCTGCTGTTCAGTAATGGGCTGGAGAGGGGGCTTCACTGGAGAGTCCTTTTTGCTGCTCCTTGTGTTTGCTGAGCCATGGGAAGCTGCTGGAGAGCTTGGGTCCTTCTGTGTTGCAAGGGGCCACTTGTCGCTCCCTGCAATGCCCACTTCCATGTGGTGGCTTTGAGGGGTTAACTACATCTTTTGTCCATATGCCAAACTCCTGGAGTCCTACTTTCAATCCCAGAGTAAGGGGAAATGCATAAATGAGTTGCCCAAGACAGAGACTGAATTCTGACTTGGAATCACAAGTAGGCCTTTGCTTCTCCTTGCTTAAGCAGTTTATGTCCTTATTTTAATTTTTCTGGTCAGCCCTTATGGGGCAGAATCAAGGCTCAGGTCACTCCCCAGCCTAATGGTACAGAAGGAAGAGTATCAGTCCCCCATGGCAATTGCTTTCCCCATACATTAATGCTGTGGGCAGTATATTCAAGAAGGTAAGGAGTATCTTAAATCCTTTACTTTCCTGTTAACTGACCTGAACAATTCAGTAAGGCCCTGAATGCTGAATGCTTGGGTAAATTTGCATTCAGACTTGATTCTGGATGCTAAGCTCATCTGTTGGCTTATTTCTAGCTAAAAAATGTTTTACGAGCCATTTCAGATCAAGTTCTTCTATAAACCACATTTTTCATAATGAAAATGGTTTGGCAATGTGTCAGATACATCATTTTTAGTCTACTTATTTTTCATGTCCTCTTGCTTAAAACAAAAAGTGGAAGAATTTCACAAAATCTTTGTTGACACATACTTTCCCCTTTCATGGAGTATAGCGTCTCAGAAAAGTAAAGCTTGCATATTTTATGTCTGTGGACATTTTTTACCTCACCTTGTTTGGAGTTGGAGTGGTATAATCTTTTCAAACTCAAATAGCAGAGCATCAATTGCGTATTTTCTCTTTCTTCATCATCTTTATACTTGAATAGGGCATTGATTCCTATCAAATTTTGCTTTTTCCTTTTTAGCCTGCATCCCTTCTGTAGCATAGTAATCATATCCTCAAAGCGGCTTTTGCAGAGTAGGGTAAAACCAGATGTATTCATTACTAGGGCTCCCCAGGCATTTTACTGCAATGTATAGAGATGTACTGAATGAAAGATACCTACTGCTAGCCTGTCAGCTAGTATACAGGAATGTGTATCCCTTTTCAGAAAGTGTCTTGTCTCTTGTGTCATGGACCCTACCTGCTCTCCAGCAATTTAAAAAGCAGTGGGCTGGCAATGCAAAACAATAGTGACAAATTGAAATATAGGAGTGGTACTTCATAATACCTCCCATCCACACACATGCACTGTGTTGTGTAATTTTTGGCTCTGGGGATTACAGCTCATTTTGCAAAAGGATATCTATCCTTCAAAGTTAATTAAAAAAGAAATAGCATTAGCAACACATCAATAATTCTATAATGCAAAAATAATGCACCTACTGTATGTTGACTGGAGTAGACAGTTATTGTGGAAATATATTTCCCTGTAGACTAAAAAATGGTTTGTTGATATAAAATGTTCAAAACTGTAAACAGAGGACACTATTCCCCTGTGGATGTCATATTTTCTACTGAAAAGACAAAACTATTTATTACAAACTAAAATCTTCATTATCTCAGTAGCTTCCTTCCCAATTCAACATCCCTTGCTCCCTCCATATACACACTTTCCCTTGTAAATCCCTATTCTTTTCTCTTCCATTCTCTTTATTGTTTTGAGTTATTCAGTTAGGTTGATAAAAAACAAATAATCATAGAATCATAGAAAAATAGAGCTGAACGAGTCTTCATGGAATTGCCACTAGTGCTGTAGAAGCTGGACCTAGTGAAGGCAGGACTAAGGAAGTCTTGTCCACGTGAATCTCCGAACTAAGACCAGTAATACTTCTCTAGGTTTGTCCCTAATGGCTGTTCTCAGGCCTAGTGCAAACTAAGGACTTGAGTGCAGGTGCTGAGGATGGGCCTAGAGTAGCCTTACTGGTGAACTTCTGAGTCCGGAGTGTGCCTTTTAACACAGATAAGTAGTATATACTTGGCTCTGTCATTTCTGGTGCATGTGGTTGCTGTGATATAGACAAATTTCAATAGATCCTGTAGTTCAGTGTTTCTCAATCTTCTTGTACCAGGACCCATTCCTAACACTGATTGCAAGTCCCAGTCCAGTAAATAGTTCAAGTAGAAAACACAAGTATTTTGGCCCTAAAATACTTATTGCACTACGAATTTAAGCAGCTCAACAGTCTTAATTTTAAGGACCGAAATCAACTTAAATAGGAAAACATTAACAACAATATCAACACGTGGCCCTCCATTACTCCCAAATGACATTCATCATTGTGCAATTTGCACAATGCAAATTGCCAGAGCCCCTCACTCCTGACTTGCAGTCCCCTGGTCCTGCCAGTGTCTCTCAGTCCCAATGCACAACTCCACCCCTCCCCCCAGCCCTGCTGGTGTCCCTCACTCCTGACCTGCTGCCCCTAAGCCCCAGCCCTCTTGTGTGTGGGAGAGGGGGTGGGTGTGTGGGGCAGGCCAGGGTGTATGTAGGATTGGGGGGCAGCCCCCAGATTTGTGCATCTACAGCAGACACGGGGCTGCAGCCTGGCCAGACTGGCATGGGCAGGAGGTGCCTCTGCAGCCCAGCGGGTGGGACCCAGCATGGGAGGGTGAAGCAGAGCAGGGCAGTGAGGCTGCTGTTGCTGCCACCAGGACCACTGTGCCAGCTATGCCATCAGCATCATGAGGAGTAATGGGGGGGGGAAGGGTGCTGCACTGCCCTCACCTCTTCCCACCTCCAGCTTCTTGTGCACCAGACCACTGCTGTACCACACCACCATGGCCCAGCCACCACCGCTGCCACTCTCCTCAGGCCACCCATGCTGCCTGCCACCTCTCCTTACCTCTGGGGTACAGTCACAGCCTGAGAGGAACAGCAGTGGTGGTGGCTGGGCCATGGTGGCAGGGTACAGCCATGGCCCCGTGTGTGAACAGATGGTGGTGGGAGGAGGTAAGGTCAGTACAGCTTCCCCCTGTCTATTACTCCTCATACTGCTGGCAGTGCAGCTGGCATGGAGGTCTTGGCAGTGGTGGTGGCAGCAACAAATCTCACCTGCCATGCTCTGCCCTTCTGCACTGCATCCCACCCGGTGGGCTATGGAGGCAGCTCCTGCCTGTGCCTGTCTGGCCAGGCTGCATCCCCATGCCCACTGTGGGTGCACAAATCTGGGGGGAAACATACCCCCTCCATGTCCCTCTCATGTATTGCACTGCCAAGCACCAAGCCAGGGTGCACCAGCCAAGTGCCAAGCCCAGCACCACTCGCAGGGGACTGAGCTGTGCTTAGTGCTTGGCAGCACCACTCACAGCAGACAGAGCCTGGCTTGGTGCTCAACTAGAGCAGCCCCATCCCTTGCGAGTGGCGTTGGGCTCAGCGCTCAGCTGGTGTGGTCCAGGCAGTGCCACTTGCAGGGGATAGTGCTGCGCTAGCTGAACACTGAGCCCAGCTCTATCTCCTCTGAGCAGCAGTGTGGCATGTACCCACCTGCTGGTGCAGTGAGGACATGCAGGAGCAGGTGTAAGTTGACCCATATTTCTGATCCCAAAAGTTAGGTTGATTTATACACTGAATCTATGAAATTCCTAACTTTTTGGATCAGAAAAATGCGGTCAACTTATACACCATGTCAAGCCTATACACCATGAAATATGGCATTGCTAAAGATGAACTAGAAATCCAGTTCTGCACCAGTATTCTAAAGTTGTGTATATCTGGGGTCCTGATTTGGACCCATATCTAACTTTTAGTCAGATAATCTGGTCTCAACAGGTTGTCTTAGTTTTTTGCCATTCCTGGTATATGTTTGTAAGTGTGCCTATTACATGTTCATATATCTACATAAATAAGGAGCTATACATATGAAAAAGGAAGCATATTTCAGAGCTGGAATGATGGCATTATTCAGGGGGGGCCATGGTGAAGCATACAAATTAGGTGGTAGGTTTCCCTAATGAAGGCAGATAAGGCGTATTTCTTTCAAAGACGTGCAGACCCATTTTTAATTACGCATCTGTAGGTGGCTTTTATTTTTTTGCTCAGTTTTTATGGGGGTTGTTTTTCTGTCATTCAGCATTTATAGTGGACATTTCGTCCCTTGCACTTTGGTATCATGCATGGATGCAGCATAACCATTAATAGATTTAATAGATTTCATAGACATTAGGGTTGGAAATGACCTTTATTGCAGGGCCCCTGGCACGGCTCTATGACCGATCGTGGTGCTTGGGCCAGGTGCCAGATGATTGGAAGGTAGCAAATGTGGTCCCCATCTTCAAGAAAGGGAAGAGGGAGGACCCGGGCAACTATAGGCCCGTCAGTCTTACCTCAATCCTGGGGAAACTCTTTGAGAAGATCATCAAGGAGCACATTTGTGATGGGCCGGCATCAGAAATGATGCTCAGGGGCAATCAGCATGGATT